CCGTCGTCCCCTTCAAGATGACTAAAGATAGAATTTAGTGACATTTGCAGAATTCTTTGGCATTTTGTCAGTCTTAGAAGTTTAAATAACGTTTCTTTCATTACTTTGACAAGTATGGAGTGCACGCTATGCAGCCTTAGCCTACAACCAGAGGCGCCACTGGGTGGAGTTGAACCCGAGGCATCTGTCTGGGAGGCGAGAGTGCTAACCACTACACCACTGTACTTTGTCTACTGCTGCCATTAGAATGTCTTATGACTCCAATTTAGAAAAAATTCAGATTTTTATTCAAAAGTACGTTTTCTCACCGTCGTCCCCCTTCATATGACTAAAGATAGAATTTCATGACTTTTTGCAAAATATTTTGGCATTCTTTTCAGACTTGGAAGTTTAAAAAAAGTTTTTTCCATTACTTTTACAAGTATGGAGTGAATCCTATGCAGGCTTAGCCTAAACCACCTACCACAGAAGCGCCACTGGGCAGAGTTGAACACGAGGCATCTTTCTGGGAGGCGAGAGTGCTAACCACTACTCCACTGTACCCTGTCAACTGCTGCCATTAGAATGTCTTATGACTCCGATTTAGAAAAAATGCAGATTTATATTCAAAAGTACGTTTTCTCACCGTCGTCCCCCTTCTTATGACTAAAGATAGAATTTCATGACTTTTTGCAAAATTTTTTCGCATTCTTTTCAGACTTGGAAGTTTAAAAAAGTTTTTTTCCTTTACTTTACAAGGTTTGAGGGGAACCCCAGGCGGCCTAGGCCAACACCAAGGAGCCCCTGGGTGGAGGTGAGCCCGAGGGAACCGGATGGGAGGGGAGAGTGCTAACCACTACACCACTGTACCATGTCAACTGCTGCCGTAAGAATGTCTTATGACTCCGATTTAGAAAATATCCTGATTTTTATTCAAAAGTACGTTTTCTCACCGTCGTCCCCCTTCATATGACTAAAGATAGAATTTCATGACTTTTTGCAAAATATTTTGGCATTCTTTTCAGACTTGGAAGTTTAAAAAAAGTTTTTTCCATTACTTTTACAAGTATGGAGTGAATCCTATGCAGGCTTAGCCTAAACCACCTACCACAGAAGCGCCACTGGGCAGAGTTGAACACGAGGCATCTTTCTGGGAGGCGAGAGTGCTAACCACTACTCCACTGTACCCTGTCAACTGCTGCCATTAGAATGTCTTATGACTCCGATTTAGAAAAAATGCAGATTTATATTCAAAAGTACGTTTTCTCACCGTCGTCCCCCTTCTTATGACTAAAGATAGAATTTCATGACTTTTTGCAAAATATTTTGGCATTCTTTTCAGACTTGGAAGTTTAAAAAAAGTTTTTTCCATTACTTTTACAAGTATGGAGTGAATCCTATGCAGGCTTAGCCTAAACCACCTACCACAGAAGCGCCACTGGGCAGAGTTGAACACGAGGCATCTTTCTGGGAGGCGAGAGTGCTAACCACTACTCCACTGTACCCTGTCAACTGCTGCCATTAGAATGTCTTATGACTCCGATTTAGAAAAAATGCAGATTTATATTCAAAAGTACGTTTTCTCACCGTCGTCCCCCTTCTTATGACTAAAGATAGAATTTAATGACTTTTTGCAAAATATTTTGGCATTCTTTTCAGACTTGGAAGTTAAAAAAACGTTTTTTTCATTACTTTTACAAGTATGGAGTGAACCCCATGCAGCCTTAGCCTACACCAAAGGCACCACTGGGTGGAGTTGAACCCGAGGCATCTGTCTGGGAGGCGAGAGTGCTAACCACTACACCACTGTACCGTGTCAACTGCTGCCATTAGAATGTCTTATGACTCCGATTTAGAAAAAATGCAGATTTTTATTCAAAAGTATGTTTTCTCACCGTCGTCCCCCTTCTTATGACTAAAGATAGAATTTAATGACTTTTTGAAAAATATTTTGGCATTCTTTTCAGACTTGAAAGTTTAAAAAAAATTTCTTCCATTACTTTTACAAGTATGGAGTGAACCCCATGCAGGCTTAGCCTACACCACCTAACACAGTGGCGCCAGTGGGTGGAGTTGAACCCGAGGCATCTGTCTTGGAGGCGAGAGTGCTAACCACTACAACACTGTACCCTGTCAACTGCTGCCATTAGAATGTCTTATGACTCCAATTTAGAAAAAATTCAGCTTTTTATTCAAAAGTACGTTTTCTCACCATCGTCCCCCTTCATATGACTAAAGATAGAATTTAATGACTTTTTGCAAAATATTTTGGCATTCTTTTCAGACTTGGAAGTTAAAAAAACGTTTTTTTCATTACTTTTACAAGTATGGAGTGAACCCCATGCAGCCTTAGCCTACACCAAAGGCACCACTGGGTGGAGTTGAACCCGAGGCATCTGTCTGGGAGGCGAGAGTGCTAACCACTACACCACTGTACCGTGTCAACTGCTTTAATAAGAATGTCTTATGACTCCGATTTAGAAAAAATTCAGATTTTTATTTAAAAGTACGTTTTCTCACCGTCGTCCCCCTTCATATGACTAAAGATAGAATTTCATGACTTTTTGCAAGATATTTGGGGATTCTTTTCAGACTTGGAAGTTTAAAAAAAGTTGTTTTCATTACTTTTAAAAGTATGGAGTGAACCCCATGCAGGCTTAGCCTACACCACCTAACACAGAGGCGCCAGTGGGTGGCGTTGAACCCGAGGGATCTGTCTTGGAGGCGAGAGTGCTAACCACTACACCACTGTACCGTGTCAACTACTGCCATTAAAATGTCTTATGACTCCGATTTAGAAAAAATTCAGATTTTTATTCAAAAGTACGTTTTCTCACCGTCGTCCCCCTTCATATGACTAAAGATAGAATTTCATGACTTTTTGAAAAATATTTGGGGATTCTTTTGAGACGCGGAAGTTTTAAAAAACTTTTTTCCATTACTTTTACAAGCATGGAGTGAACCCCATGCATGCTTAGCCTACACCACCTAACACAGTGGCGCCACTGGGCGGCGTTGAACCCGAGGCATCTGTCTGTGAGGCGAGAGTGCTAACCACTACACCACTGTACCTGTAATTCAAAAGTACGTTTTCGGAGAAGTCAAACTCAGGACCTTCTTGCTGTGAGGCGACAGTGCTAACAATGACCCCACGGTGCTGCCCGTATGGCATTCCAATATATTTAAAAATCTTTGCTTCGAATTCAGCAATCTGCAAATGTGCTTCTGCCCCTTTCTGAAAGACATCAATTTCAGATTGCAAATCATTTACACGCACGTGGCTTCAGCAGACCTCTGGACATAATAAATGTTTCCACTCTTTACATTGATGTTTTTACCAAGGATAGCTCAAATACTCTAAAACAAAAGTCTAAGGACCAAAACTAAGGACAGTGCAAGCTTGGCCAGAAATGTGGCATTTAATGGACTAAACTACAGGTGAGGGAAATTTTGATCCATGGCTTACTGGGTGCACAGCCAGATTTTGATGAAATAATCTAAATGGTGATACTGCAAGAAAATTTCATCTTTGTTGGGAAGCTCAGCCTGTGAGATTATAACTCATTGATTTGCCAGTTAGAAAATGTCCTTCCTGAGCTACTGTAGTTTCAGGCAGGCCTTGGTACCTCCTACTTCCTGGTTCACCCATTAGAAAGGGTATAAAGCTGCCCATAATGAAGCTGCTTTTGGCATGCTTGTCCCTTTCTGTGTCGGAGGAGTGGCTGGAGAAGCCAGTGAGCTGGTAGGTGTTTTTATTCTCAGTTCTTATTAAAATGGTTTGGCCATTGGTGATTTTTCTTTTTGTGTCAACCAGCTCGTCAGGGAGGCCCAAACCGTGTGTGAGCCATACCAGGTGGAGGAGCCTCAAAGTAACTCCAGGCTGGCATTAGATGCCATTGCTGTTTTGCGTTGCTTGTTCAGTTCTGGTCTGGAGTTTCTTCATGTTGGTAATTTTAGTTAGTTTGCAGATTACTTTTGGTAAGTAATTTGTGTTTATTTTTGTGTTTGAGGTTGTCTGCAGAGTAGCATCCCAGATGGTGGGTCCGGTGGCTGGGCCTTTCATCTGCTCATCCCATTGTCCGTTGTGTTTGTTTGCATTTTCTTTTTACATAGCATGCCTTTATTTTATATTTGTGTGGAGAAACGGTGAGTCGGTGAGTGCCCTGTGCCAGAGCCTGTCCCTGTTCCTGCCCCGGTGCAGCCTAGTCACCAGTAGCACTCAATTTTTTTTGTAGAGGTGCATTTGGTTATTTCTACAGCTAATTGAAATTGGTTTAATTTGTATGCTTTCTATATTTTAACTAAATGTTGAAATCTGGGAATACATTTTCCTCAGTCTTACTTCAGTCACCTGTTGATCCATGGTTGTTGGATAATTTATGAGGAAATATTTAACCCTGTGCTACCGGTGGTTACAAATGTCTTTCTTCCAGTTGCTCAACTTCTCATGACTTGATCTACACACTATGCATCAGCTAAAATAAATGCATTCTAACCCTAACCGCCCTATAAACTATGTCTCCCTCATTCTCTTGTATCTGTGTTGACAGCTCAAATAGAAATCGGGCCAATGGTACCCCTAGAGGGGATTTACTTGCACGTTGAACTTTACTAATTGCTTTTGATCTCTTCTCAGACTGCTATGGCTGGTTCTACACCTGCAGAATCAAGATGACCAATGGAAAAACTAAAACTTCAAAGGTTCGGAAGTTCGGGGTAGGTTAAAGGGAAACCTCACTTCAATACATGGACCAAGATTTTGGCAATTACTTTTAATCTCAACTCTACCACTGAATTTCAGGGACAAGTAGGAGGCCAAACGGGTTAGTTGATGTGTAAAATGTTTTACCTACCTGTGGGATATTTCGTAACCCTGTTTTATAATGTTTTTTTTAATATTGTATTGTCATTTACTCGTTTCAATCAGTTCAATATGCGTTGGGCAAGAAACCTGGTGGAGACCGTGGTGCTATGACAGCAAACAAAAGGTATGACTGACTTGCGTTAACAAGTACATTACTAAAGAGCCACTGCTCATATTTAACTGCACGCATTTTTCACAATGTTTTAACTGTTTGAATTGCTTTGTGTTTTATGGTGATTGTGATGTTTGTTCCATAGTGCAAGTGAATCTTATGTGTGTACCCTGTAAAAATGCACTTTAAATACACATTTCTGTGACGGTAATTAAAACTTTCATTTTAAATTTGTATTTAAAGAGCAATTTTTCATTAACTGAACCAGTGTTTGTTTAACAATATATCTCAAGTGGGTGTTTTAGTAATAGCTTTATTGATTTGAATAGTTGCTTAAATATTTCTCATGCAGATGTTTTAAAATGGAAAAAGTCAACCTCATAGTGCTGTACACTTCAGTGTAGGTTAAGACCTTGTTTACTGGCTTAGTGTTGCAATGTTCTCTAATTTAACAGTCAAATTTACTGTGTACCTGGAATGTAATTTTGGCAGTGAATTAATAAAATGTCAATGTATTCTAGAGGAGAGGGAGAAGATGGGCGAGGCCTGGGCCCTTTGTCAAGATGTTTTTTTATGTAATGCTTGTCGTACAGGTGTAATGGCACGAATAAAATGTCTTTCTAACAAAAGAATGTCTTAGTGTTGTGGCCTGTCCTTAACTATTTGGATCCTTTAGCTGCTGTTAATCTATTCTGTTGGCCAATGTGTTAGTATTGCTAAATAACGTTAGCCTATGGGCAAAAAGATGCCATCTTGTCAGTGTTTCAAAGATTTTTCAGAATGAGTTGTGATTCCACACAGGACGGTCCAGAGAGGTGGTCGAGCAGTTTCAGCCTCCTGTGACGGTGGAAATTACCAGCAGACTTTAGTGATTTGAGTGAACGGTAAGACTTTTTTCCAGTATGGTTTTTGATATGTAATGCTTGTCATGCAGGTTGTGTGACGTGTCTAATAAAACATTCCTTTTCAAACTGTCAAGAGCCTGACTTGCATAATGTGTTAACCATGTCTTCTAAAATGTGGTTGGATGTCCTGAACTATGCCACCCTCTTTAGCTGCTTCATTTAAATTTGGCAGCTTTTTGCTCGTACAGGGAAACTGCAATCAATGTTCGGAAAACATTCCGGGTGGTTTTGTGATTCCACGCAGGACGGTCCAGAGAAGACAACAGGCTCCTGCGTTGGGCTCTCTAGGAGCGGCCAAGCAACTGAGAACCTTTCTCAGTACTGCTTTTCATGTCACGCTGTGAAAGTCTAATAAAATGTTAGAAGGCCTGACTGTTGGTTGGTTAACTACATCTGCTGCTAATATGTACTGAACTAATCCAGTCTTTATCTGCGCTTTCCCAGTGTGTAAAAAGATGCATTCTTGTTAGTGTTTAAATATTTCTTGTTTGCTAAAGTACTGTTGTGCTACCACACAGGACGATTCAGATAACACTACAGGCTCCTGCTTCAGGGGCAAGCAGCTTTAGCCTCCTGTGGAACTTGCCCTATGCTCCTGCCAAATTAGCGATTTGACTAACGGGTAAGACTTTTTTTCCCCAGTAATGGTTATGTAATGCTTGTCATGCAGTCTGTGTGACCGGTCTAGAAAAATGTTTGAAATGGTATGATTGCATAATGTACTTGTGGTGCTTCTTGTCTTTGGTTGTATTTCCTGAACTATTTGGTTTTAACTTTTCCATTCGCCAATGTGTTAGGAATATGTTTTTATTGCTACATGTAGGTGAAAGAAGATAATGTTAGTGTTAAAGACTGTTCTGGATAAGTTCGGTAATATAGTCTTGTTTTTTCTTGCAGGATGATAGAATCCAACTCTATACAGGCTTTGCCAAATCTAGTCGACCAGCTGAAAGGATTTGGCAGAAGGTAAGACCTTGCTAGGGTTAGCGGGGGCTAAGTGTGGGCTAGGGTTAGCGGGGGCTAAGTGTGGGCTAGGGTTAGCGGGGGCTAAGTGTGGGCTAGGGTTAGCGGGGGCTAAGTGTGGGCTAGGGTTAGCGGGGGCTAAGTGTGGGCTAGGGTTAGCGGGGGCTAAGTGTGGGCTAGGGTTAGCGGGGGCTAAGTGTGGGCTAGGGTTAGCGGGGGCTAAGTGTGGGCTAGGGTTAGCGGGGGCTAAGTGTGGGCTAGGGTTAGCGGGGCTAAGTGTGG